AAATATATAATATATTAAAATTAAAAAATAGATATATTAAAATTAAAAAATATATATATTAAAATTAAAAAATATATATAATAAAATAAAGTACATGCACCATATATTGTACAATTTTACACTTCCACACCTTACATACAATATTTATTTGTAAGGTACATACAAATATCTGTCAGCCAACGCAATGCCATCGAAAATTTATGGCAAGAAGGCGTTGCGTTATACAAAGTGTGAACGATGCATAAGAATTTTAACAAGAAAAATATGTAAATTTTGTTGTAATAAAAATTCTTACTCACCCTTAGCGTGAACTTTTTTCCCGTAAATGTCTTTTTCTCCATTTCAGTTGCTGGTTTCCAGGCGCTTACTGCGAACGTTGCACGCACACACTGTCGGCTGTTGCATTTATCTGCAAAATATAAATTTTATGAAACATCACGACACACAAAACAAACACAACAACAAAAAAAATATATATATTACAGAAACAAAAAACAGCTGTAGAAAGTAAAATATATGAAAAGAGCGAAGTAAAATTAAAAGAAAGAACGCAGCGTGAAAATTAAAAACAGTAAGGCAACAACAGCAAAATAATGCCAAACAAGTTATGTATATCGCTGCAGGACATTATTTTAAATACTAATCCGCAACAGTTTTCATTTACAATTGTGAAGTCAACACGCCAACAAACAACAACAACACATATTTTGTTGTACAAAAACAGAACAAAAAGCTGGAAGAAGCGAAATGACAACGCTTCATTGGTGGCGCGCAAAAGCCTACAAATACTTTTTTATATATATACATACAAATATACAAATAAATATGTACACACATACAAGCACGTGCATAGCGGCGCAAAACAAGCGCAAGGATATCTTTATATTGTTATTTCCACACAATCTGCATACTCTCCAGCTCCAGTTTAAGGATAGAAAGCAAAAAACCAGAAAAAACATTCAAAGCGCCAGAAAGTATGCTACGCCTAACGCGCTTGATATGAATTTCTTTTATTCGCATGAAATTGTGGCGGCGGGAAAAAATATTGGCTGCTTCGGAATGAATATACATAATTACTAATGTACATATATACATATGTATAACTACATAAACGTAAGTATATACGTATATGTATGTTGGTATTTTTATATGTATTTGAAAATATGTCACCAAGTGCCGTGATATGCAAATACTAGCGCTTTTACATAAATTCAGATGTTATCCTAAATAGCATAGAACAGCAAAGCCTAACATAGCATAGCATGGAATAACATAATAGGGCAGCACAGGCAGCGCAGATATCGCTGGCCAAGTAACCGTACCGCGAGTAGGCTGCTTTTTAAGGGGGCTTTATTAAAAAAAAAAAATAAACTTTATAAATGAGAAAATATAAACGAACATGTCGCTACACTCGGTAAAAGAAAAATAGAAAGAAGGCAACATGACTAAGTAAAAATAAAAACGGTAAATGACTGGCGCTTAAGGAAAATGGAAAAATTTTGCAGATGACAGCAAACAATATAGAAACGAACACGCACACTAGCATAGCAGTGGGACATATACTCGTAGCTGACAACGGAAAATGAGACAAGCTAGTCGACTATCACGGCATATAAATATTCAAAATACTTTTAGTGGCTTGTATTAGGGTGCCTTACGAATTCGCTGGATATTTCTATGAAAACAAATATAGAGTTTTGAACTCAATAATTGTAAAAAAAAAGGTTAATAATAAAAATGATTGAAAGCAATAAAAAATGTTTAGGCTGCACTGAAGTTATAATACCCTTCACATTATCATATATCATAATAGGAAGGATAGAAAAACGGATTTTTATCTTGATTTTGAGCGATCAATTTGTATGACAGCTATATGTAATATAATACTATAGTGATCCGATGTAAACAATATATTCGAAAATTGTAACGTTGGCTGGTACAAAAATGTATGCTAAGTTTCGTTAAGATAACTAGTCAAATAAAAAAGTTTTCCAAACAAGAACTTGATTTTGATCGATCAGTTTGTATGACAGCTATATGCAATAATGGTCCGATATTGGCGTTTTCGGCGAATGAGCAGCTTCTAGAGGACCTGTGCAACATTTCAGATCGATATCTCAAAAACTGAGCCGATTCGAGCTTTTATTTGGCGCAATTTGGTAACACTAATGTTGCAATCGAACAACTCACAACTTTATCTTAAAGTTCTACAGTTTTGATGTTATATGTATACACTCAGTTTAGACATACGAGCGCTGTTTGTGTTGTTTACAGTAACTTAAAATATTCATCTCAGCCAAAAAATGGCATTAAATCGCGAACCTTTTCGAAGGATAATATTGTATAACTTTTGACGTGGATTAACTCAGCAACGGTGCATGGATGAACTTAATTCAATATTTGGCGCTGAAGCTCCACCAGTGTTTATCGCTGGTATGGTGAATTCAAGACGAATTTCATGAAGGTCGTTCAAAATCAATTGTTGTTTCGGAAACTATTGCTGCTGATATTGCAAGATGGTCATGTGATCTATCGATTGATGCGTTCAGAACACATGTTTTTGAGCTAAATCAATCAAAGTGACAAAGTGCTTCAAAGGTTGGTTCAAACGCATGCAAAAGTGTATAGATCTTAGTGGAGTATTTTGAAAAATAATAAAGCGATTTCCGATGATAATAATATTTTTTTTTGTTCTCTACAATTCTCTAATTTAAAAGATAACCCTTGCATTCAGCCAAACAAACTGACATGACTAACTCCACTCAGCTCATCACGCTGATCATTTATATATATGGTATACACTATAAGATTTCTGACGTTTACTACGGGATTTTACAAACTCCATGGCAAAGTGGGTATAAAAAAACCATTATGTTCACGTCATAAAAAATTAACACATCAGTCAAAATCAACCTACCAAATTTTTTGATAATGAAATCAAAACTGAAATTCCAACCTAAACGTTGCCTACAATTAGGAGCATCTTTTTATAATAGCAAAGTCTTACACCCATTCAATAGCGTATAGAATTTAACAAAGTAGTGATCTATAAAAAATAATTGTATATAATAAAAATTCAATATAAATAGATTCTGGATATTGCATAATAATTGTGATTTTAATCCACACATGGATATATCTATATATCTATGGTATACATAGGTATGTATGACTTTACGAAAATATTCGATTGTTACTTTTGAGGGAAGGATTTTCGCACATTTTACGCGCCAAATAAGAGACAAAGTTATCAGCAGAAATTACACTTCAGAGAGAGTGACTTAACATGTTTACAAAACTCTCTTCCCGTTAATGACATTCTAGAGTCTCAAAATTACCAATCGTAGACCAAGAGCTCGAGAGCTAAGGATAGAAAGCAAAAAACCAGAAAAAACATTAAAAGCGCCAGAAAGTATGCTATGCCTAAAGCGCTTGATATGAATTTATTTTATTCGCATGAAATTGTGGCGAGAAGAGCTCGAATTGCTTCCAAAAACACGCGTAATTCTTGTACAAATATAATCTAGATACTATGCAAGGATAAACTTTTGCCTATAGAGCACAATATCTACAACCCTAATACTTGAATAATTCCTTCTTTCAATTTTTCTTTTCTTTGCCACTTCGTCACGCAGTCTAAATGAGTTTACATACATACATAATTGTTTTATTTTTGTTCTTACGCTTTGTTTAATGAAAAAATTATAAACGCTTAATTGCGTTTACACAATGCGGAAGTATTTCTAGTACACACTTGGCACTCTGTTTCTGTTGGTTTTCTTTTTTTTTTTTACTTTGACATTATTTTAAATTACTATTGCCTAAGATACTTTAACAGAGCATTTTAAGTATATACAATTACTTTGTGTAATTTTATTTAATTATTTTTTCAAATTTTTAAATGGAATTTTTACTAGGATGGAAACCATTAGCATGAAACCTAGAAACAATATATATATAAAACATACGAAATACATATTGAAAAATTCGAATTATGGTTTGATGAGCTTTGCATTTATAGAAAAGCATCACTTTATATTTTAAGACGATGGAACTTAACGAATCCGTGTATTAAGTGAATTTGTACAGTCGCCTCTACGTAACCACAACAGAACCCAATTTTATTCGGCCAAGTACTGTCATAAATTTGTATAAAAAACTTTTTCATGCCTGAAACCAATCGAAGATTTCTCTCATTCACAAAAATATATATAGTTTGAGATGAGATTTGAGTATCAAAACTCTACCAAACCGCATCGAAACTACGAACTCAAAAGAGAACGAAACACTTGGAAATATGGCATATTCCAGAAGAACAACAGCTCATACCTATGATTTAGATGTTGAATGGATTTATGATTTCTTTGTCAGAATACGAGCTTTATACTTGTATAGCAATAGCAGACTACTCGAGTCTAAATGAAAATGTTCAGTATATGTTTGGATTACCGAACAAAACTAGTTTTTTCAGGCATTAAAAGGAACAAAATTTATATTCCTCGCCTCATGGAAAGCTAAGGTTTAGACTCATCGCAAAAATCGATAAGCTATATAAGTTAAAGGTTCTTCATTGGAATAAAACGCTTTCTAAGATTTTCTCAATATATATCACGAAAGCTTTCTTCTGTCTTCTATATTCGAAAATTGAAAATTAAATTCTTGTTCTAGAAATTTTTTGAGATGTACTGACTGTTCTGAGTTTTATGAAGTCAACGAATGAAACTTGATTTCTTATTATCCAAATGTTTTCCGACAATGATCTCAATTTTACTCACAAACAGTTTCGAACTGAATCCTTTGCAGAAAAATAACATTTAAGCACTTTTGACTGACCTATGAATAATAACGCCAGTCAAAACTTGCATTTACATAATATATGGCAACCAGATCCCAGTACATAAAAGGAACTAAAGGGCAAATAAACTGTCTAAAGATCTAGGACCAATCAGTTTCTTCATGGTTTGCAAAAGCGTGCTTGTATTAGCTGCTAACTCGAGAAATATCTCTAAGCTCTCCACAATTCGACTGTGGATGGTATACTGTTACAGGGTGACTGCTTAAGCACCCTCTCATATTGCTTTGCAACTTAATCGTATTGACTGAAAGTCGAAGGTACAACAATTTACAAGCACCCATAAACAAATACAGACATATTTAGGTATGCAAATACACACATACACATACAAATATATACTATACAAACGTGAGCACTTAACTGCGTTTCAAATTGTTGGTGCGCTGCCGCCTGCAGAAGTGATTGTAGATTTCCAAATAAAACTGACCACAACGCAGCACAACAAACAGAAATAGTAACAGAAAAACAACAACAACAGCAAGTGGTTGCATGTAAATAAGCTTAACTATAAATATATATAGATGTGTATTTGTATATATGAGTTTTACAAAACA